TATTGTTACAACTAAAATGCTCGTGTCATGATAAATTGCATTAATGACTCTAATAACTTAACATCAACCAAGATATGCTAATCGAATCAACGATTTTGTTAATATATCATTAACCAAGTTTAATCGTATCAATTGAAAAACTATATAATTAATTAACTAAATAACCGAGTATATGCTTAATTGAATAATTGAGCAATTGAATAACTAAATAACTAAGTAGCCAAGCATATGTACTGAATCATTGAGGATATGTATAACTCTATAATTGAGAAGCTAAGCATATGTATAACTAAATAACCAAGCAACTACATAATTGAATGACTAAGAAGCTGCTATCACTAATGGTCATGACAACATCATAAGCAAGGAATTTACATATCATCATGCTTCATTGCAGCAATAGTGGCACAAACAAACATGTAACCAATGCAAAACATATGAAATAATGATTAAAGCTACATTTCTCCCACTCTCATGCACTTGTACCACGCATTGGGTGGCTTCTTGATAAGCTTGGACGCAATTTAAATGCTGAAATGTATAAGATGAATGGAAACTTGGTAAGGGTCTCTAAAGCCTCCTTTTCCTTGTGTTCCTCCTAACTTCTTAATCCATTAGAATTTAATTAAGGGAATAAGATTAAATTGTTATTAATTTTTCATGCTTCTTGAATAATTGCTTAGCATAGAGGAACATAAAACAACAAACTCGAAATCCTTATTCGAATGCCTCTAACTATAAACAGTTACATAGAACATTGGCATAACATTTAGAGACATTTATAAGGAATTTCAAATTAGTTCCTAAGCTCTAATTCATTCCTTGAATATTTAAGATTTTCATTTTTTGTCAAGAACCATCAAGTAACAACTTAAATCAATTCCATGATTACAACATGAATTTAACCATTTGGAACAATTGCTAAACATTCAAGAACAGCAACCAACAACTATTTGTCAAATTTCAGTTTCTAACACAGTGATTTGATCATCATTAATGTGCCCTAACCATGATTCATATATTTAAGGCACCTAATCATTATAAGAAACATCAAACTAATTTCATATCAATAACAGCATAACCGTTATTTAAAATTCATAACTATGAATTAAATCTGTAACATAACTGCTAAATGCTTGAAGGGAAAGTTCAGCAAGCTTGATACAAATCTACAGCCCCCAATGATTTACTTTTACTGAATATATAATATTGATGCTTCTACAATATGGCGACCCCACAACTTTATTACCACTCCATCTAAAACATACGCGCATTGGTCTTACATTTAGACAAATCTTAGATGTGTGATTAAGTGATTAATACTCCCTATTCCCCTATCTTAGAACAGTGGCATTTCCATTCTTATTTAATTTGTTCCAAAAAGAGCATTCATCATCTTCTATGTATTTTAGCATATTACAGACTTAATTCATGCTATTTTATTATCATCTAAGTTCTCCAACTTCTGAAATAATTTCGTACAGTCACTTTTGTTGAGTCTAGAAATTTTCCAGCAACTAAGCATTGGTTTAACAGTCTATATCAACAGCTTAATATTTGTAAATACCAAACAGCAACTTCAATTACATTTTCAGCTCCAAGCCTTTTATTCTATCCGCTATATTAAGCCTTAAATCTTGCATTGGTTTCTATTAGAGCATTTCAGATTCTCATTTATCATTAAAAACTTACCTCAGCATTTCAATTTCCAAACAGTTTAAAATTCTTTTAAATGTCTCTAGCACAATTAAATCAACTAAGATAATTACTTAGCATAAAGAAGCATCAAAACAGCAGATTCTAACTAAATTTCCAGCACCATAAACGCACACATATCCTTATCTAGCATTTGAGAGAATTAGACAATGATCTTCTTTCCATTTTCACTTAGAAATTTCAGACCCTATCAGCTTTCCATCCATGACCACGTAAACAATACCTATTTCATATCATTATAATCATTTAAGCATCCCATGATGTGCCTAAAGCACAACAAACAGCATTTCTTCACCAATTCTGAAATTTTTTTTCCAGCTTTATAATTATTGTCTTAACCATCACAAGGGAGCCTTCAAACATAATTTAATAATTTAACATACTCATTTAACATTTGAAAGCATGAAAGAGTGGGTTCCATTCGGTTTTTACTCCCAAATTTCAGCTCAAATAGGCTCAGAACATCATACAATCAAATAACATCTGTGAATCTATATATATGTATATATACACACTTCATTATGGGATATTATATATAAGAAGGAACAATTAAAAAAGCCTCTGCGCAGGAAGGTCCAGATTCAAAATCATCTTCCCCACAGACTTATTCAATCATATGTGCATGGCCATAGAACATCAACATAAGCTTGAAACTATACTTAGCTATGGTTGTATCACTTGTTCCTAAATTTTCTCTCACTAACTCCCAAATTTCAGCCACCATCAACTTGTAAAACATCCATCAAATGAAGAAAATAAAGAAGGAATATGAATCTAGACTCTTTCCTTGGTCTAGATACGGCTTTGCATGTGAGATCTCTCTCTCTCTCTCTCTCTCTCTCTCTCTCTCTCGCGACCCCTCTCTTTCCCTCACACTGCTTCGCCGAGTGGCGTGGTCTGGAACTATTAAAAGAGAGGACTATGGGCTGCTCGAGCTTGGGCCATTCATCGCGAAATTTTCGGTTTAAGCTTAAAAGTGTTCACCCAATGTTGCATGGCATCACAATGGACCAAAGTCTGGAACTTTTTGGGCTTCAAGAATGGGGCTCAAATGTAGCCCAATTCCCCTGTTGGGCGTAGGTAATGAATTTACCATCTTGTCCTTTTTTGGGTTAGTTCATTACCAAATAAATCCATTCTCCAACAAATTAATCCTTAACAGGTTTTGATAATTTTATTCCTCAATTTAGGCTTTTTATCCTATGAAATAATTTTCCTAAAATTTTTGGGCTAAAACTTGTAATTAACTTTCCTGAATTTCTGAAGAAAATAAGCCTTTAATTGTATAAATTAAACTATGTATATTCCATAAACTCCTTTATTTCTTAAACTAATTATCTATAACTTTTCTTAATTATTTTTAATATTTATATATCTTTAATAACTATTTCCTTCTTGAATTTTAAGAATTTGTACCTAAAAATAGGGTTTACTGAATATTATTTTCTTGAGGTCTTGGATAATTCTGTAAGCCTCCTAACCTTTTTATGGGTCATTAGCTCGAAGCTTTAAACTTCCAGATATTAAAAAAATCATAGGAAAAAGATATTTGATATTGATATTTATATTAAGAAGAAGTGTCAAAGCAGTGATAGATAGAAATGCAAGAAGTCATAGGAAAAATATTATTTATATATTACGTAGAACTTCGAAAGTGATAGTGAAAACAAAAAGTAAAGCCGTCCGAGGAGGAAAAAGAACGTGCCAAACTTCCCCAAAGCGTGTTGAAATTAAACCTATTTTCCGTTTCAATTCAATTTTTTTCGCATTTATTCATAATTATTATCCTTCCGGTCTTATTTTATGTTCAAGTAAGCAAACACATTAATCGGCCAAAAATGATTATACATAAACTAAAATGTTTAATGTGTTGGAGAAATTAGAAGCAAAGCAGAACAAAATTCATTGAACCAAGAATGCGTAATGATACTTTCATGCATGGGATTAAAAAGGACTAAATCAGTCAAAATATACTATATTACAGTCAAGAAATATATATTGACTAATTTTAGATCTAATTTTTTTAGTTTTCTGGCATTGCCTAATCTTAATGACTCAATTGGCCTGCGTAGCCGTCCAGAAGCTTAGTTACGTTCAATGATTAAAACAAACTAGCACTCAGATAACCGGAAGAAAAATTATACCCCAGGTAATTTTTTTCCAGTAAATGACGTAGCAATCTATTTTTCATTATCATTAAAACTATATATCTCTTTTCCCCTTCCCCCTCATCCTATGGTCGATGAATCCAAAGTGGGTAACCATATATCAACAAAATCAAGCAGAAAAAAAATTTCTTAGAAAGGAGTAAAATAAAGGCTTAGCCTATTGAAATCATTTGCTGTTGTTGGAGTCTTAACAAATCGAATTGATGAGCAATATTAAGCACATGGGATCTTGAAACTACTGACACATAGGAGACCCGATGCCAATTGAAAATTTGCTGTAGTCTTCCCTTTTGTTGAAATAGGACAATATTTACCCCAACTTCTTTATGTTCATTATGTTAAGTTCTCTAATCAAGTTTAGCCATGTGTATTATTTTTAAAATATTATTATTAAACTATCAAACCCATATGGAAAAAATAAGATGCATGTCCATATGTAAACTTAACATAATGAATATGATAAAATTAATGTAGGGTTAAGATACAATTTTAAAATATCTGGCATCATAAAATTTACTTAGGTGTAAAATTATACATAAACTTTTTAACAGATGTCTATCCAAGTTAATTGTATATTTGTATTGTTATTTTTGCCTCCTTTTAAAAAGTTCATATATATTTTTGCATTCAAATAAATTTTATGATACCCAATACTCATTAGTGTTAACTTTGTTGTTAAAATTGTACCTTAACCAGTCAATAAATTGGAAGACAAAATTATGGTTAAATAAATTTAGGTAAAATCACCTTTAATTTCTTTTCCAAAACATGTTTTTTCTATTAAAAAATTTAGAGCGTAATATAATATTCTTTTTTCAATTATCAATTTGGAATATAATAATAATTTTGACTTAAAATAAAATTTAAATTTAAAATTTATATCAATCAAATTTAACGAAAAGTACATTTTTTTTTTCAAATAGAAAAATCCAAGATGGCTGCAAACCGCGTTCATCCATATTAAGGTAGATGGCTTGACCATGAGCTGCACCACAGATTCTTCCACTTCCAGACGGACAAATTCATTAATATAAATTCATATATTGTCTTCTTGAAAGCTACAACTTCTCTGCTAGCTACCTCTCTCTTATCATCATCCATCCCATCTTGCATACGATGTTTGGTGGAAGGATTCTTGTACGTTCCAAACTCTATATCATGTTCTTCTTTATCACTTTCTCTGCAATTACTTTTCTTCTCTGTGAAGATACAAGGGTCCCCCATTATTCCTTAAATTATGAATCCCTTGAGAAGCTTCAGTTAGTGTTGGAGGAACCCAGATTTCAGAAAGCAACACAGTCAGCGCTTTCCCACGTACCCGTTGAAGAAGAAGATGATGAAGAAGAAGAAGTTGATAGAGGAAACCAGAAGCCTCTAGTTCCTCCATTGAATCTCACAGAAAAAGAAAGGATTGCTTGGTTCCAGAAAAGGTTTCACGAATTCAAGATTTTCAAGTCAAGCAATTTAACCCGTCAGTTTCATGCTAGAGTTTTAGGACTCTTCAGCCATGAATGCGAAGCTCAGTTCTTCATGACTTGGATTTCACCTGCGAGCTCGTTTGGAAGTAGAGAACAGTTATCACTAGAATCTCTGTTCAAGGCTCATCCTCAGGCATGCTTGGCAATCCTCTCAAGAACTTTAGATTCCAAACAAGGGTTTAAGATTCTGAAGCCTCTTATTGATCGTGGCTTCAAAGTGGAGGCCGTGACCCCAGATTTGCCACTTTTGTTTCAAGGCACTCCAGCAGAAGAATGGCTTCATGATCTGATAAAAGGGAAGAAGGACCCAGGTGAGATTCCTCTGCCTCAGAATCTATCAAACTTAATAAGACTTGTGGTTCTATACAAATACGGGGGCATCTATATAGACACAGATTTCATAATCCTTAAATCCTTCAAAGGATTGAGGAATTGCATTGGAGCACAAAGTGTGAACCCGGTTTCTAAACACTGGACTACATTAAACAATGCAGTTCTTGTCTTCGATAAGAATCACCCACTTTTGTTACGATTCATAGAGGATTTTGCGTTGAATTTTAATGGTAACAAATGGGGACAAAACGGTCCATATTTAGTGACAAGAGTAGTTGAGAGAGTGAAAGAAGAAGATGGTTTGAACTTGACAGTTTTACCTCCAATGGCGTTTTATCCTGTGGATTGGACGGGAATAGATAGGTGGTTCCAGAAGCCAAAGAACAGTGAAGAATCAAGTTGGGTCAAAGCTAAATTGATTGAGCTTAGAGGAGAAACTTATGGGGTTCATCTGTGGAATAAATGCAGCAGCGAATTGGCAATTGAAAAAGCAAGTGTTATGGCAATTCTTATATTACAGCATTGTCTATTGTGCAATAATGTCTATATATAGTTATGATTTTTTGACAACTCAACAGGTTGGTTTTACTAAAAGCGTATGTAAAAGTGAGTGCATGATTTTTTTTTTTCCCCCCCCCCGCGCAATTGAAAAGATTTTACAAGAGAAAAGGGAAAATATTGTATTCCTTTTTTATATACAAAACTTGTGTAATAATTACTAATGGTGGTAGATTTATGCTTATTTTGAGCTCATCTTAAGGAGGTAGATTTATTCTTATTTTGAAATCTTTTTTTTAACCAGTACGCTCATGACATAGCCAATAGAGTTATATCCAAACAATACATGCTCTGATTCTTATTAATTACATTAATTTTATTTGTTCTTGTTAATATGTCCCGTACTTTTTTCCCCTACACTTGGCTTGATGGCTATTTAAAGAAGATAAAAAAAAAAAGGGAGTCATTTTTAATAGACTTTTATAAAAAGCATTGTAAGAAAGAGTAGAAATAAGATCTGGAGAAATATTGAAATCGTCTATGTTACTAAATACGAAACTTGAACAAAAATGATTTTGCTTCGTACTAATTTACTGTATAAATTTTGTTTATGCTTAATTATAATTACGCTTTAATTAATTTAAAATTTATAAAATAAATTTCAAGGAAAAATATTAATTAATTTAAATATAATAATTTGTAAAATAAAAAATAAAGTATATACAAAACAATATATAAGTTCACATCACCAAAATTATTTAATATCTATTATAAAATAATAATTGTAATTCTAACGTTGATTCTATGTGAGTTACTGACATTTCCACCTTATACACGCAGGGGCGCACACACGTATTTTGTGTGAATAATTAAAAATTAGTTAAAAATACATAGGTAAGAAATATATTTTTTAAGCATGTTCTTATTTATAAGTAGGAAAGTGAGAGAGAAAATAAATGACAAAAAGGATTAAAAAAATATATGTGGGAAGTAAGTGTATATATATATAGAGAGAGAGAGAGAATGAAGGAATTGAAAAAAAAAATTAAATGTTATGATAAATCCAAATTAAAACTTTTAAAATGGAAATAAATAAGATTGGAAGGAGGATATATATCGGATGAAAATAATTTACGGCTGTTAAATGGGGAATATTACTAAGCCTTCGCATGGGTTGGTTTATCCAGATTAACAAAATTATACTTGTGGTATCCAATACACACCAAGTGCGAATGGATTTTAGAGTGCTCCCACAATTAAGATGTGAAAATCGAGATCTCACTTTCCATATCGGCCTGTCTATGTCTTCACCAATGGACGAGGTATTCATCTTCTCTAATATTTGCAAACCCTTTTCCTGCAACTTCAGTAATATGATCTGCTGCCCATCACCATATAGAAGATGAAACTCCAGTGATTTGGCCAATATATAAATAAAGCATTCCGGAAACCAAAAACATTATTAACAACTAGGAAGAGAATATTGTAAAAAACAAGGTCATTATCGAGTTTGAATTAAGACAAACAGATTGAAACTGGCGAGTAAATAGCATATATATCTAGCTAGTGTTCACTCTAATATGAATTTTTTTTGGGAAAAAGAGTAGCAAAGAGCCACGTTCAATGGTTCAAGGGCACAAGTTTGATAGAAAATCGATGTGAAATATATCAAGCCCAATTAATTACTATTCAATTAAAAGTATTTACTTTGCTGGTCAAAAAAAAAAAGTAAAAGTATTTACTTCATGAGGCCCACTCTGTTGCTTCAATGGCGTTCATGAGAAAGAAACTCGGCCCATCAGTGTAAATATTTGAACACATCCACTCTTGCACAAGGATATGGAATCTAAAATACTAAGGCATCATAACACTTGCACGGAAAAGCACCAGCTGCTGAGCCCTAAATAAGAAGGGGCGAAAGATTTTTCTTGAGGAGCTATATATTCTGTATATTGCATATATATAGCTGCATCATTTGATAGTTAAAAAATTGATGTCATTAAAGTACCCAAAAAATAAGCAATTCTCAATGGAAAAGGACGTTAGGAATCAATAATGATGGCTAGTTTATTTTAATTTCTTTTAGATCCATCAGATCAATTTGATGCTACCAGAATTATATTTCTCTATAACAAATCATAAAGTAATCATGGGTAAGACGACGCATGAGGAAATTATGAAATACTAATAGAAGTAAGAGATGATCACCTTAATGCTGAGTTGAATCCCATTCTTCATGATCCAATAGAATGAGGTCGTGGCTGTGATGCCCATCTCAATCGTCGAATTTAATTTTGATATTCAAATGCAGATGTCGGGCACACCCCAAATTGTTTGATCTCTCCTATTTTTCCACAATACGAAGACTTCCAACATCTAGCTGTGAATTCTATTTCAAGCAATGGATAATAAGTGTTGTACTGAGCACCTTTTTTCTTTTCTCCAATTTTCCTTTGTATTGCTCCAAAAGAATATTGATCATACCAAAGAAAAACATGATCTGACAAGGTGAACTCATCTGTACCAAAGGAGCTTTCAGCCCAGCAAGCATATTCACCATCAATATACCATGTGGCATCAATGCAAGTCCCTGGTGGCGATCTAGAAGTGACGGCGCGGAAAATAGAACTGTCATACCAAGGTTGTGGAATTGAGCTGAGATCCACAGTTACCAAATATTTTGTGGTCCTATACATGAACCATTTTGGAACTCGTGTTCCTGGATATTCCATTATAGCGATGCCATAAATGGCTTTATTTATCTCAAGTAGCACTTTTGCCTCAACAGCTTTGATTGATTGTTCATCCAAGTTCATGCAATTTGTGAATCTAAAGTACGGAAAGGGATCATCATCATCATAATCTACTTTGTTTCCTTCCTCACCCTCGTTCATTAAAGATAAATCTAGGGTTCTAAGCAATCGACAGCTCCTCGTAGACAATGTTAAGAGAGAGGGAGGGAGTTCTGGTAGAGACTGAAGTTTTTTGCATCCATCCAAGTAAATATCATGCAGGCTCGAAAGGTGTTTGATGCTTAAAGGCAAGGTCTCTATATTAGTCCTTGAGAGTTCTAACACACGTAATGATGTCAACAAGCGGATGTTGTCAGGAAGTTCAGACAAGTTACTACAATCCTTCAGCCATAGAACCTCTGAAGCACGTACCTTGTCAAATATGGAACTTAGATTTGATGCTAGCTTATTACAACAACTAGCACAGGTCAACCAAGTTGCAGGGAAGACTTTCCACACTTTTGCATCTGTTTAGAAACAATGAATCAATTTTGCTGAGACGCCCACTTGACGAGCACAATTTGTCGTTAATGGCCGTCCCTGAAAGCTTCAATTCAAATCCCCAATGTTCTGAGGTCACAAACAATTTTTTCAATCTTGAGCATTCTTCCAGGTTGAGATTACCAAGTGATTTGAGATGGGTATTGCTTGTAAGGCTGGTCAGGGCTTTGCAATCCCTTAGCCATAAACAACAAAGGCTATGGAGAGATAAAATAGATGGATAAACACTTCGCAATTTTAAACAACCACTAAGATTAACTTCTGCAAGATGTATGACATTGGAAAATTTTGGGAGGTCAATCAAGTCTTTTGATCCAGCGAGTTCAATGTTTCTTAAATTCACAAGATTCTACAAAGATATAAATTAGATGGTAAGATTGATGCCCAAAACAAAAGTAAATTACTCTCTCCAATCTTTTTTCATAAGATCTTGTTAACTAATTTGTTGATGAGAAAATTAGTTAATGCCAAAAACTTTTACAACTTTTTAAAATTACTCATATTCAACAATCTTTGTAAAATAAGGTTTTGGAGCTTAATCTGATGGTAAAAGACAATAGCATCTTTTAGAATAATAATAGATTATCAATGTTTCACTAAATTTTGTAAGATGTATTGCATCAGTGACCAATGGATAGGACCTTATAATTAGGATCAAAGGGAATATAATGGAGATTTTACAATAAGTATATTAATAAAATGTTTAAGGAAAACATATAAAAGTTACCTGGACTTCTTTCCAAAGTTTTGTGAGATTGCCATTAGGCATTCCAATTTCAATAAGATTTTCAACCTTGAATGTTGTAGGTAAGGACTTTAAGGATATCCTACCCAACGCAATAGTCTGACTTCATTTGGCAAAAACTTGATACCACAAGGAAACTTTAACTTGTTTCTGACCTGATCGTTGTAAATTTTTGTGAAAATTAAGAAACCTTAGATTAGGCATTAAGCAAAAGGCTTGAAGACTTGGGCACATATCTTCAACCTCTGAAACGTTTAGAGTTATGCCTTCATTGGCTTCACTTCCCTAAAAACCAAAAAGTAATGAAATTAATAAAAAAGTATTATGTAAATCAAATAAGAATATGGGATTCAATTATTGATAAAAACCATGTTGAAATTTCACTCTTACCATGTTTTCTTTCAATATTTCAGAAATTTCCTTAAAATTCCATAATCGGCTGCATCTTTTTGGGTCATTTAATGATTCTTCACAAACAATTTGCTGACCCATTTCTTTTATCAGATGGCATAGATATTCTTCCTTCATAGATATCTAAAAGAGCTTTATCTTCAATACTTTTCAATCCAATAATAGTTGAATAACCACATGCATCTAGCAAACTCTTTACATCCTCAACATAATAACCATTAAAACATGCGATATCCAAGAAAATATTTTTCTCTTCACAATCAAGTCCTTCAAAACTTGATTTTAGGGTATCAATAATTTTTGGGTAAGGTACTCTTCTAAGCTTTTCCAATTGGCTTTCCTATAATTCTTTATTTTTGCCATAAAATAAGAAACCTAATACTTTAAGGGCTAATGGATTTCCATTTCCATAGTAAGTCACATCCATTGCCAACATCCTTACTTTTGGATCACTGCAGTCTTTTCTAAAGGCATTCAAGGAGAAAAGTTGAAAAGCCTCATTCGAATTCAAAGCTTCGAGTTTATATATACCATCAACTTTCCTACCAAGGACTTGCTTATCTCTAGTGGTTATCAAGATTTTACTCCCTAATCCAAACCAATCATGTCTTCCGGCTAAATGTTCTAATTGTTCATGATCATCAACATCATCAAGAGCATTGAAACTTTTTTCCCAACCAAGTCTACTCATGGCATAAGGAGATATGGCATCAACTATGCCGATGTGAGATTTTTTATGCCTTAATAACCTCAAAATAAGTTTTTTCTTCAAAGTATCAATTCCATATTTCTTTGATTCTTCCCTTAAATTAGCCAAAAAGCAAAACCCTTCATATGCAAAGCATAATTTGTTAAATAATGCTTTTGCGAGAGTTGTTTTGCCTATACCACCCATACCCCAAATGCCAATAAATTGGACATTGTTTGAACCTTTGTAAAACAATGATTTTACAGTAGCCATTCTTTTATGAATTCTAATCTTGTCTTTTAGATAATCTTCACTATGATACTTACAGCTTACCTTTAGTATAACACATTTTGCTATTTCTGTAATTAGCTCTGCTTCATTAATCCTACATACCATTGGAAAAGTGAAGATGCATCAAATTTGATACAAAATTTTCCAATTTTTAAAATATCACTATGATAGAATTTCAAATATATGTGATGGTTAAAGCCAAAAACTATCACGTATTGTAAGGCAAGATCACACTAATGAATATCTAACCCATTACATATTTGTTACCAATAGGTGACGGTTTAGTTCCCCAACCATTACCTATTGCTATCGAGAAATAAATTTAAATTTTTACAAAACAAAATATGGCTATTTTAAAGTACAACTATTACAAAATGCTTCTGAATCTTTCACCTCCCTCTCAAACTATCAAAGCAGGGCATTGATGAAATCCAACTATTAGAAGTGACTATCAATCTTTAACTTCCAATTAGCATAATGATGGTTCTAAGCCATCAATTCAACCCTCTTTAAACCCCTCACTCCTCCTTTTCTTTCATACCATAAAAAGTTCAATTCTCTCTCCCCTAATCAGAATGGTTCAACATCAAAGAGCTTTCACCTTGTGCCCTCCATATTAGTAGCCTCTACTGCCTTCCTCTCCTACTCCTACCCTTCCTCTTCCACCACCTCCCCTTCCTTCATCACCACAGGATGACAACCCTCCCTAACTAGACAACATCCTTAGGGAAGTCCTATGCCTAGACCATGTTGTAGGCTTGCCTTGCTGTCATTTTTTGAATCAAAAGTTTAAATTTATGTTATATCTGAATGATGTTGAATACAATATGGATTCTAATACTTCCTCTCCTACCTTCAACAATGAGAAGGGGGAGGAACAGCAGTAGGGTTTTTTTAAAAAACTTTTATCATGTGTTTTTTATTTTTAATTTATATACAAAAAAGAACAATACATGATAGTTCTAAAAGATAAAATCATCACTTAATGCTATCACATTTTATATGAATATATAGAAATAAGGTGCTAAAATACCCTAAAAATTGCCACCGAGGAGCACCAAGCACTCGGAATTTTTTTTCACTCTAATATATCTTAAAAGTTTTATTTCGTAACAAATATGCCCTAGCGCAACCCCTCCTAACATTGATCGTTAATTTTGACCAAAATTTCTTACATGGCAGCCTGACTTTGCCACCTCAATATCACACCTCATCTTCTCTCCCTCGTTCTCTCTTTAAAACTTCTTTCTCAGTCCCTTTTCTCTTTGAAATAGAGTGAGGTAGAAAAGAGCATCTTCCCTAGAGAGAGAAAGTTCATCCCAAACTGTGAGGAAGAAGAGAGAAAGTAGTAGATGGACTATGGCATCGACTAAGAAACATGAAAATATGGGATACCCTAACACCAAGGTCCCCTTTCATATGTTTTATACTACTTTGTTATATATAAATTATTACTGCCACCTTTATTGCCAACAAGCCAATGCCTATAAATCTTGTCTAACTGACCACCACCTCAGTCTCACCAACTTCAATGGCTCTTTTTTCCCCAAAGCTTCCTTCCAAATTCAAGCTTCAATCTATTAGTTTTGCCTCCTAGATCTCACCCCACCACCTTTCTTGCTAAAGAGCATCTCAGCTCACTCAAATCTTCTCTTTCTTGTTCCCCTCCTTTTTCTTCCTCTGTCCTCCCTCTCTTCCCTAATCTTCAAATCAAAACCCAATAATAAGTGGGCCTTATTGTCAAGATTGATGCAGAAAGGAGCACTAGTGAGTGATATCTGCAGCTATATCATGAGTGTTACGGATTCTGTCTTTGAAGTTTTTCTAGGTTTAAATAAATTATATTTGATTTTTTTTTATAGTTTCTGACACGATTGCCTTGATTTCTAGAGATGGTAGTTCATGGCTATGCTTGGAAGGGCAAGAAGGGATGGAAAGGATGTTTTAGAGAGAAAGAATATAATGAGGGGGAGAGAGGATGAGATATGATGATGAGATAGCCAAGTCAAGCTGGTGTGTAAATAATTTTGGTCAAAATTAATGGTCAATGTGAGGAGGGGTTAAGTCAGGGCATTATTTGCTATGAAATAAAAATTTTAGAATATATTAGAGTAAAATAAAATAATTTTGGTTATTGGGCACTTCTTTGTGGCAACTTTTAGGATATTTTAGGACCTTATATGAAAAATATAAACAAAAAACATGTCAATTTTTTAAACTGACTGCCATTTAAGGTGTCGCACTCTATATATATAAGTGTACAAACAGAATACATGTCTATTTTTTTAAAGAAAGACCATTGAGTATATAATGTTCTTTTAAAATAGTTTCTAACCCTTTCTATGCACTACATTTTCAAACTTAGTATTAATTACCTTATACTCAAAAATAGCTCTCTCGTGTGTGCGCCTTCGTGAACCAACAGCTACCCCAAAGCCCAACCAAACCTACCTCTATACTTCACTTCGTGAACTACTATAAATGAAGTGGTTACAATGATGGAGCTTTGCGCCTTTGTTCCAAGGTAAGTTTGCGGTTCACTTTTTTGTTCTCTGTTGTTCATTTCTCTAATCACCCTCCTACCCTATTCTCTTTGTGTTGTAAGCTCAAAGCTTCTCATTTATTTGCTCCTTTTTCCCTTTTCGTTCTATTGAAATGGATTTTAAAGGGAAGGGATAACCCCTCTCAAGTCTTAGTATTGCTGTGGGTGACACACTGTCTATTACTGCAATTATTTTGGTGCATCTAGTGGTTATCAAAACTGCTAGTAAAATGAGGATAGCATAGTACTTTGTAGGTGTTCTAACACACTACAAAATTTAATAACGATTTCTAACACGACTGCCACCTAATATCAGAAGTCTAATGATAATACCACATTTGTAGTGGTTTTAAAAATTGTTACAAAGGTTGTGATTTATTTTTGTTTTTAATTTGTAGCGGTGCAATATGTATATATTGAAATGGTATCAAGTCTTTAAGCAATTGTTATGTCATTAAATATATAATTTAAAAAGATTGTCAAAATTTTATTAGTACTGATTCACTTTGTTATATATATAATAAAATATTATGATTTTAATTATTAATATACGATTTGGTTTAAAAAATTATTTATATTTGTGAGAAATTTTTTTCCAAATAGATATTTATATAAGGGGTTAGTAGATATTCAATAAAAAAAATATAGAAGGAGGTAGGATTGCCCAGTGATATGAATCAATAGAAAGAAAGTTGGGAAAAAGACGGAAAAATGGCAAGTTAACTTCAAAATGCCAGAAACGTTCGGCCAATTTGAGAAATCCCGTTTTGGTGTTATGAGACCAAATTGGGATTATTTTGTTAGACGAAAAGACCAAACTGCCCTGTGTATTATTTGAAACAAAAGCAAGGGGAGAGAGGCGTGGTTTAACTTGGGAATGCTTGGTTGAGACTGACAGCGTGAAGAATAGAAAAGAGAGGAGAAGAGAGCGGAGGAGGAAGCTGTCACTGTGGAAGAAGAGAGAAGAGAAGAAGGAAGGGCGCGTTCGTGGTGCTGTGGTCACCATCAAAGAAGAGAGAAGAGAATAAGGAAGGGTGTATTGGTGGTGCTGTGGTCATCATGGAAGAAGAGAAAAGAAAAGAAGGACCGAAGGGATACATTATGGGAGTCGATCGAAGGGGAAGAAGAGAGAAGAGGAGTTACACTGAGACAAAGGTAAGTTTGTCTAACATTCCCTCAGTGTGTTTGTTAATGGGTAGTGGGCGAATGTCATATTTCTTCTTCCATGGTTTTCCAGATTATTGCTTGTTTTATTTTACCTTCCTTGTTGTGGTGTACGTGTGGATTGGGAAATTGTTAGTTTTCTTCCAATGGCTTTTTTATTTGAGTTTTATGAAGGTGTGATGAACATGTGGAGTTGGATTGTAGCTGTAATGTATCAAGTTTGCAATTGTGATTTTAAGAGGAATATCTTTGAGCTTGTTAAATTGAATGCACTTTAGGTGTTTGATAAAATGTTTGCAATGAGAATTTAAAGTTAATAGACATGATTAATGTAGTATAGACCAAATTATGGGACTGTGGAAGTCTTAAGAAACCATTTATGTTGATTGGAGAATGGTGATTGGTGCATGAACGGTGATGATCATAATTATAAGATGTGCAAGTCTTGAGAAACCACTTTTGTTGACTAGAGAATTATAACTGGTGCTTGAACATTGATGATCATAATTGGAAGATGATGGTTACTGCTAAATTAGTAGACGGATTCTATTATATGGATTTATTGAAGCTGAAGGTGTTAAAGACATACACTGAAGCTGTTAAACATTATACAAAAGTTGTAAAATGGGTTTTGTTATCTTTCTTGGAAATACTATTGTTGACACTTATATTGAAGATGTTCGATGCTTACATTGAAGCTGTTAACCACTGTAGTGAAATTGTAAAAATGGGTTTTCATTATCTTTCCTAGAAATGCTATTTTTAACACTTAGACTGAAGTTGTTAAATGCTTACACTGAAGCAGTTAACCACTATACACTCAAGTCGCAAAAATGGGTTTCTATTATCTTTCGTGGAAATGCTATTGTCCACACTTATACTGAAGTTTTAAACACTCACATTGAAGGTGTTAACCACTATATGGAAGTTGTAAAGATGGGTCTTATTATTTTTCCTAGAAATGCTGTTGTTGACACTTATACTAAAGTTGTTAAACACTTACATTGAAAGTGTTAACCATTATACGAAAGTTGTACAGATGGGTTTTGTTATGTTTCCTGGAAATGCTGTTATTGACACTTATATTGAAGTTGTTAAACACTTATATTGAAGGTGCTAACCACTATACGGAAGTTGTAAAAATGGGTTTTGTTATGTTTCCTGGAAATGTTGTTGTTGACACTTATACTGAAGTTGTTAAACACTTATATTGAAGGTGTTAACCACTATATGGAAGTTGTAAAAATTGGTTTTGTTATTTTTCCTAGAAATGCTG